AATTTATTGTACCAAAACTAACTCTTTGTGATAGTAAATTATAATGGCCAGAAGATCCGTCGCTAAAAGCTTAGTTTTGCTCTTTATATGTTTTTTCACAAAATATAACCACAATGGCGCTTTTTAAAGAAATAATAAAAATATCACAACTTTGTATGATTTATATGATTCAACTAAAATTAAATATCATTGGCTCCGAATCTCAATCCAGCCCCGGTTATCAGTAAGTTCTAATTTGATTTATTTTTGTAATTTTTTATTTCACCCCAACGTTTTCGTATATTTTCTACAACGCTGTTTATATATTATAATTAGGGCCCGGATTCCAATGCAAAATGCATCATTTTTTTATTAATCCTAGACAATGCTTTCCAAGTTTATAATTTGATTCATGTAACAGAGACTTCAAAGGTGAAATTTTTATTTTGCATTTTTTTGCTTTTTTTGCATATTTCAATATTTTTTCATTTTTAGAGCATTTTTAGCATTTTTGGGTCATTTTGTTGGTTTTTAATGCATATGTGTTCAATATACTATACAAATTTAGCCAATTCAAAATATTATCTAAAAAAAAATTATTCGATTCAGTTTTTATCTTATTGTTCAATGCAGTTCTCAAAATTTAGTAAGTACAATAGGCTATTACTTAGAATTTAATTTTTAATATATACGTATTTTGGTATGTTTAGAATGAATAATATTTCTCCAGAACGACCAAAATACATACGAGTCAACTTCAATCAAATGTTCAGTTTTTTTTTTAATAAAATAATAAAAAATAATTAAATCTTATTTATTAATTACAAATTGTATAAAAAATATATGTCATTTTTAAAGTCATATTTTCATTTTTAAGGTCATTTTTATAGAAAAATGCATTTTTTTAAGGGCATTTTTGGCTATTTTTTAGAGCATATTTGTATGGTTTTAAGTGCATTTAAATCCGTGCCCTAATTATAATATACAATACACATCATAATATCATTATGCCATACATACTATTTGACAAAAGTTGATTACCTGAGTCCGTGGTGCAAAAAGGGTCCTAATTCTCCCAATAAAAAATTCTAGTTATACATCCACCGCCTCAATTAGCAATAACCGAAACTGGTGTATCTCGTGTAGCTCTTAAATATGAGGCGTCGGAAAACATTAAGCGATTGGCCAAACACCGGCCAATACTAAAAGCGGACGACGATAAAAAGTGCTTTTCCGTGAAGCCATTTTCACTTATTTACAAACCATCGCTTCGTATTCATCAACTCTTCAAGCCCCGGATCAGTGTGGTGAAGACAATATGATAATCGCTTCAATTGTTATAATTATTGTTATTATATAGTAGTAAAAAGTATAGGTAGGTAGTCTGTCCTGTATCCCCCCACTTCATCTCACCCAATGGTTCCCTCTCCACTGTTCCTCCGGCCTATACTATAGCTCTCGACCCACTACCTCCGTTAAACTGTGGCTCCCCACCCACCTCCTCGCCTATCCACGTGATCGGGGTGCCTGTCCTTTCGCCTATACCGTGGCTCTCACTCCTAACCTACCACCTATGCGCGGAATGTGCATACATGTTATATACCGCATTGTTATTATGTACGTATACTCATAATAACATTTTTATAAATTATATCATTGGAATGTGTGAATAGCCTTGAATCCCAAACGCATCCCCGCACGACTAGCAGAAATATGTTTGTGTCCCGTATAACTCAGTGTAATCAGCGCTACAGATTTCATTGATAATATTAAATATGATTAATATGCAGATTTTATTGAGTATATTAAACTCACCGCATATTAGTGCGTACCGCGCATGACCTATTAATTAAGATAATTAGGTATTTATTCGCATTCGTGGCACGTTTGCTAAAATATTATATGCACCATAGATCATTGTAAATGTAGCTGTTTAACGTTTAGCAAGTACCTATGTGTTTTGTTTCGTTTTTAAAGTTAAACCCCATCTTATTAATTTTATTAAAATGACACAATTCGTTGTGCAACTAGCAGATGTAAATATTACTGGTATATTTATAAATTTATTTTTTTTTTCGGGGGGTGGAGGTGACAGAGGCAAATCCAAACATTTTTCATTGGGAAGAAGAGGGGGCGCATAGCAAAAAAAAAAAGGTCAAAATAATTTTAGTCGGTAATTTTGAAGACTGTACCCCCCACGATTTTTTTCTAAGATCGTCTTGGGTATGTCACTAATCTCACTCTTTACGAAGGCCTAAATATTGAACTAATTACCGATTTAGTTAAAACCTATTATAAAAAATTTCTCTCCAATTAATCCAACACCCAAACACTTCAATAACAAACCAGCACATATTCTCGATTCACGACAACCCTCTTTATTATCTCAAAAGACGTTGGTGTCGTGATTTATTAGAATAAATTACTCTCTATTCGCCTATCAAAACTCGCCAAAAGGGTCCTATCATTATTGGATATCTTTCCTATTCAATATCTCAAAGTCAAATTTCTATAATTTTTCTATCATATTTGCTTATTGTATATTTTATTTGTAATACAGATTGTAGATTTACTTATTTTCGATAAAAAAAAGAAAAAAACTACAAAAAAGTTAGAGATTTCATGGGTTAACATTTTATTTTATTTTGTATTTTTGTGAGTACTGTGGCCTTTGTTGTTGTATAATACTATCAATTTAATTTTTCGCTATATCTTTATATTTTTGTTTCAGATAATTCTTTGTTATTTAATTGGTAATTAAACAAAAGGGCTCAGTCCTCAGCCCGTATATATTCATAATAAATACATAAATAAGTAAATAAAATATATTACCAGTCGATTTTCTGTTATAATCTTACCAAGTATTTTGACATATTCATTTTCATTCGATAGCCTTTTTTTTGGAGTTAAATAATTCGACTCATCAATCATCATCCACTGAGTGTTTAGAAGTAGAGCAGTTTTCTGAAAAATAACTAGTTATTTTATTTTTTAAAGATTTTATAAAACAGTAGAAAAACGAAACACAGTGATGATTAAATAAGACAAATAGGTAACAATCAATGATCGACCTACGACCAACTGGCAACTTATAGCCAAGCTACGTTTAAGTATGGGTCGATTTACTAGGTGGGTAAGGAGATTTTGTTATTGAATATTTTCGAATCTCGATAATTGAACCAATTAATTCCCATATATTTTATATAGACAAGTAAATTCTATAATATTATAGCAATAATAATAGCCTAGTTATTAGATATGAATCTAGAATCTAAATAATAATAATATACCTCAGACAGTGACTCAGTGTGTAAAAATATCGTTGGACTCTTACGGACGCGTAATAATAATAATATAAGCGGCACTTTCCGAAAAGTATTTATATTTTATACTCACTGTTAATAAGGTACGATTTCGGTTTTAAAAAAAATAAAAATAAATATAAGTCTGAACAACAGTAGTATTTATCATAATATAAGAGATATTAAAACAATAACAATTGCAAATCAAACAAATATAAGTTACCTAATACTTAGTAATATGCCGCAATTTCCACAGACGTTTCACTACTACTACTACTACTACTACTACTACTACGATATTAGTGCCGCGGTCAACGGCAGAACAGCTGTTTATTAGTCTTGTTGAGTTTAAGAACGATTGCGAGCACCGATGACATTGAAATGCGGTTTTTCCCAAGTCAATGATAATCCGCAAACGGGGAAAACATTTTCGAACCCCAACAATATAGTCATAAAGACATATATTCTGTAGAAATATAACATAATGGATTATGGTTTATGGAAAAAAAAAATTAAACAATATTTAATATACATAATATATATTGTACGATAATACGATATACATAAGTACGTATAAATTGTTTTAACTAGGGCTAACCACTAGTGACTTACAGAAGTTTACGTTAACAAGTTACCCAATAATCATTTAAAACATTGCTAAGTCATACAGACATTTTTTCATAGTACTTAAAATTTAAAGCAATCATTTTTATTTTGCACATTCAGTTCTTTTTCCCTATAAAAACATTATATTATTATTTTGTTATATTTGTATTTTAAGCACGTATTTCACATAATTTAATTAAAGCAAAATTAAAAACATTATGTGACATAGAGTATATTAATATTTTATACATACCATAAACTTTCTAGAAATAGGAAAATAATAAATTAAAATGATTAAATAATCTATCTACCGTGTGTTGTGAAAAAGATTTCGGTCGATAAAGAATACACCGAACACGGTCATGTCACTAAAAATTCGTTTGTTTGTATCGTACCTATGCGTTTTCGACTTGCGTTAATAATGTTAATATCATAGGAAGTATAATATTCTAGAATTTAAACTATTAAGGTACGGTTGTTTTTTTTATGAAAATTAAAAGTGCCTTAATAAAAAATACCTTATTTAATAATAATAAAAAAAAAATTGTAATGTTTGGTCTTTTAATAATGAAAAAATTAAATTTTTTTAAGGTTTTTTTTAGAATATGAAGTCCCTTTGTTCAAAATGAGATCAATACTGGCGGCATGGGCGTGACTTAGTTCCTGCGGGGCAGCTTGACGCGTCGTCGACGAGAGCACCACATTATTATTTATTTGATTATTGGTCGACTGCCGATGTTCTCAAAATATAATTTAAAATGGATAGCGAGTTGCGATTAAGCGTTTTGTTTCGTATGACACTCTGTTGCGGTGTCTATTGCACGGACGCGTATGGTGTATTTACATGATTTCAAATACAACTTAAATAAAAAAAGGTAATTAAAATATTAATTTTTTATTGACATTACATAATAGCATAATTTATAATATAATGCAATATAAATCGTCAAAAGAATATTTATAAATTATCACATATCAATTACCAGCTAAATTATGTATACGTCAGTCGTGTATAAATTGAAACCATTATTTTTCGTTTTTCATGAGATAATTATTTAATAATTTACTATGTATTTTTTTTATAATACAAATTTCAAAAATTTTAAATTGCTCTTGCTCATCAAAAGAATGTTTACAAGTTATAATATGCATAAAAATTATATAATAAATTAAAAGTTATCATCAGAATCGGAAGTATCGTCTGTTGCGGTGAGATCACAAGGTTCTAAACTGTCAATAATTTCGTCCATATTTTTGTCAATTTCGTTCAATTTATTCTCCTCCGCTATGACATGTTTAATAAAATTTTCCCACTTTTCTCGGTTGACTCCTTCAATTGCCGCGTTCGCAAGGGCCTTAACGTCTTCGATTTTAAATGATATACTATGCTGCCTTACATAGCTTTTAACCATTTCCCATACCAATTCCATTGGATTCAATTCACAATGGTTGGTAGGTAATCTTAATACGGAATGGCCAGCGTCTTTGGCCATATTGTCGACGACATAAGACACATACTTCCCCTTTATCTCGTTAACCTTTGCGAGCAGTTGTGGTTTAAACATTGGTTTATTGATGACAACGCCTTTCGAAGTTAACCACGATAAAATGTCTTCTTTTTTTGAATGGCTTGTCGGTATTTTTTCTGATTTCACTGAGTGGTACGAGGCATTGTCCATCACAATTACTGCATTTGGATCAAGACGTGGAAGAATTGACCCAAACCATTCATGAAATTTTTTGCTATCATAGCAGTCTACACCATTTCTTTTTGACACAAAATATGTCAGACCGTTATCTAAAAAGCCTTTGTGTGATCCAATGTGTAATATAATCAAATTTTGGCCCTTACCAGTCGTGTTCGTCACACCAGTTGTTTGACCTCTGTTTAAAGTATCCTGTTTTGACTTTATTGTTTTATCGACCCTCGATTTTTTCTTACAATCGCTAACATTTAGCCACGTTTCATCAAGGTAATAAACGGTACGACCTTCTTCTCGATATTTACGAATATCGTACAAATAGTTTTGACGCCAAATCAACAAGTCATTTCTCTCCATCAACATATTGTATTTATTCCTCTTGACGTAAACAAAGTTCAATTTTTTTATTGTTGAATACAACGTAGTGCGTTTGAAATTAGGAAGAGCCGGATCATGATTCACACTTCTTAAAATTTTGTCAATAGTCGGTAATTCTTTCTTCAACCAAAAGTTGTAAACTTTTTGACGTAACGCACTCCGATCTAAATTGCTAATTTTGTTAAACAGACACTTTTTATTACGTTTATTTTTAGGAGACGTAACAGTTCCAGTTTTTCTGTACTTCGAAATAATTGAATACACAGAATTAAGACCAATACCCGAAGTTTGCGAAATGTTGTGCATTATTTGTTTGTTTTGCATAATCGGATAGTTCATATGCATGTTCAGGTACATGTCGACAACCATGTTCTTCTGACGACTTCGTACCCACTAAAAAATAAATTAATGTTTAATTTTCTCACACAAATATTTTTATAGCAAGTATTTTATACCTATTTCGTTTTTTCAACTACCTACGTATTTTTGAATAGATAAATGAATTAAATATATTATAAAATTAGATCAATTTATTAAATTAAAAATTAAATGTTAGTTAAAATTAGGGCTCTCGGTTTAGTACGTGTATAAAAAATTCATTTACTTGTGTATTTAAATTCTAGAAGTTTTTATAAAATTTATTTTTAGAATTTATAGTATTGTTCTGTAATTTTGACATAGACCATAAGTAGGTACACTATAAAATGTTCATATATTTTATATTATTTTTTTATTATTTTTTATAATTTATATAATTATATTCAATAAAAAGTTAAATATGAAAATATTCAAAATTTATGATTGTTTGAACGTATTTATTAATTTGTAACAAAAGGAATAGTATTGATTATTTCATATTTATTGAAAAATTCGTTTTTTTACATTAATAATGAATGTTAGCCGCGTCTGAGAAGTAAGAAGCCGGTTCGACGAGTGACGACCTGCGGGATAACCTTTAATGACGATAAAGGCGGAGGTTACGTATAGTTTATAGTTTATTTATTTTGGGAGTGTAACATTATCCAAGCACTTGTAAACTTCTCCACAAGTACCTTTTTTTACTGTAAACTCCACCAGAAAAAAAACATGTAAAATTGGGTTTATGTAAACTCCGCCAGTGAAGAAAATCATATTTAATTAATGTGATGTCTTATTAAAAAATATTATAACCTCATATAATATCATATCGTTCACATTAAATATTTAAAACATAGTAAAAAAATCATAATAAATAATCATTTTACCTAATAATCCAAAAATATATAGTTATGTCATGTATATAAACTAAAATAATGTAATATAATTTGTAAATATTCTAAGTTTTGTATTGATCCATTGGTATATATCAGTGGTGCCCAACCCGCGGCCCGCGGGCCACATGTGGCCCGCGAAAGTATTCTGTGTGGCCCGTCACAAATTTTTAAATAAAACAAAATATTCTAAAAAAAGTAAAATTATATTTATTTATTTTATAAAAGTAATAATAATAATAATAAAATCAAAATAAATGTTTAAACGTTTTAAACAAAATATTCAAAAAAAAAAGTAAAATTATATTTATAAATTTACTTTGTAATTGTAAAAATAAAAAAATTCGGCAATCGTCATTATATTTACGCTTTTTTCTGTCGGACATTTTTAAATAAAAATTTTACGATCGCTATTACCTATGCACTTAAAAGAGCAGACTGATCGTCGTATGTATCTACAATGTTTACCTCAATCCATAATCTTTTCAATCAATAAAAGATAAGATATACACCATATATATTGTACACATATGTATCACAAAATTATATTATTAGATTAAGATTGGGATTATTCGTACTTTTATATTTAGTGGCCCGCTCGAAGATGATTATTAACCAAAGTGGCACGCCGAACAAAAAAGGTTGGGCATCACTGGTATATATCATCGCAATAGATGTCAACGTATTTAATGTGAGGAGGCACATTACAATGTAAGCACTGAGCAGCTAAACAAAAAAAACTAGTGGAGTTTTTATATACCCATTGCAGGTAAGAAAAAAAACTGGCGTAGCCACTAGACCTTTTTATTATCTTTTTATCTTAACCTGTATTCTGGGGTGGTTTACAATCGCCCCATTGTCCATATTCAAAGAAATAAAGTGTATATATTAGAAATGGAATGTAAGGAGATCGAGGGTGATTCGTTATTAATTTATTATTTTTTTATTATACTTAACATTTTAGGAAGAAATACCAATATACTATTATATACATATATATATATATTTTTTTTTTTATTGATCTTATCTAAGCCCGCCAACTAAGGCCATTAGCTGTGAATAGGAACAGTAGATATTTTGTGTGAGGTTTGGTTAATAAGGTTTGAACACGTGGGTGTATGTCTGTGTGCCATGGATTCGTTTCCAAAAACTCAGATTATCACCCATCCGAGAGCTAGCAACGCCGGCCGATGCTTGACCTTGGAACACATAAGTAACCGAGGCCAACCACCGCGCCACATTATGCCACATATATTATTATTATAATTATTATTGTTGTTACTATTTATTTATCACATTTTCTCATAATCAATAATTTGATTCGATCCAATGCAGGTATCTATTTAATTTTTAACTGAATATTATTAATTAATATTATATTAAATGTAAATAAATGTATTAGTTTAATTGGTAATACATTTATTTACTTGTTTAATTTCATATTAAAACATCGTATAATAATATGTAAGTTTATGTTTTCTACACAAATATTTAATAGTGGATCTTAAATCAGTAAGGGAACGCAGTGAAAACAGGCATTACGGAGTCTAACCAGATACGGGTACTATTGCCTCAGCTTAGTTAGGGTTCCAAAGTATGCTACCGGGTAGATGGAATCTACATTATACGTGTACACGAAATTTAACATAGTTCTCATAAAAACACGTGCGTTGATGTTCTTAGATACACGTAAAATAGAGACCCCTAGTTAAAATACATCAAAATACCACTTAAATTGCTGGGAATAATACATAGTGGTCACTGGTTTAGATAAATTAGATAGTAAGTAAAATATTAGAGTACTGATTTTTATATTTTATTCAAATATAATACGTTCATAAAAATTAAAGGATATAAATGGCGGACGTCAATTAAACCAGTGCCGATATTAGAATTTATAATATTTTACTCACTTTTCCTTGAATATTCCTTCTACTTGGTAAACTAGTTTCCTCCGTGCTGTCTATTACAAGGGTCACACTATCTTCAGAATCACTCATAGTGAATTCGTTAACGTGAAATTTTAATAAAAAAAAAAAAAAAAACGTACAAGAGCTAACGAAAACGTACAAAAAACACCAAAAAACGTTGGTACAAAAAATACAGATAAAAATCACAGAACGTATAAACGACGCGTCGACACAGAGAGTGGACTGCAAATGCGTTGAGTCTGTTAAATACAGTGTTATATTGATATAGGTAGGGGTATATGCGCCGAACAACTGCTGACCTTCGTCTGGAATTTAGTTGCAATACGGGACCCTCATTTCTATTGAGGGTGGTAAATACACGTCCCGTGTTATTTATTAATTTTCTTTATAGAGGACGCAACGAAGTGCGTACGCACATTCACTTAGAACGACGAACGCACAGACAATCGGAGGGTCTGGAGGGGAGACGACGGATTGAATCAACATGGGGTAGACGTATTCACCGCGCCACTGTCGAAAACTGGTCGCCGCCCTGTATCGATCTCATTTTGAACGCAGTTTAATATTTTCATATTCTGTATTCCAGCGGTTCCCAAACTGTGCACCGCGGTGCCCTAGGGGCACCGTGGTCTACGTTTCATTGGTTCTCAATGAGTACTTTCTTTGTTCTATCTTTCATGTTATATACAGCAGGGCACCGTGGTTAATATGGTGCCCCTAAAAGGGCACCGCGTTCAAAAAAGTTTGGGAACCGCTGCTGTATTCGTATGGTCCGGGCTAATGGTCCATAAATAGCCCAAAATGTTTTTAGATCGAGCAGTCCGGTCCCGGTTTACTCTATTCCATTAAATTTAGTTATTGGTCCGGTCCATTTCATAAATAATATGTAGCCATGGGTTCAGTCCGAATTTGGTCTTTTGTTTAAATTTGAAATCCTGTGCAGTCCCTAAAATAACGGGCCGTTAAAATATTATCTATGTACATTGTACATAAATATGAAAATGGAAATCTTTGTCACACATGTTTTCTGAAACTAATCATACGATTATCTTGATTCTTTTTTTTTTTAATGAAATAGTAAATCGTGTAGAAAGTTTTAAGCCTATTTTTAATTCTATACATTTATGAAAATCAAGTTATTTATTTTTAAATAAAAGACAAATATGTACATAAAAAGCACACAAAGCGTGAGAAAGAATTAGCTGTGTTTTTTCATATAAATATCGTTTTATAAAAATGTTAAAATTTTTATGTTCTAATAAAAGTTGTTACACTTTTTAACTAGTGTTAGTGAAATAATAATCCACCGTGCAAAGGAATGTTACAAACATTCCACTGATATACAATTTAAGGCTTAATAAAAACATTACAATGGAATATTATTTGACTGTTACAAGAATAGTCCATAAACATATTATAATTTAAGATTGAAAAAGTACGTTCCAATTATATACATTGTGTGTTTCAAGAATTACATAATTTTGTTATGTTAAC